GCCGCCTCCGCCTCCGCCTCCCCCTCGCATGAGGCAGCCCGGGACGCGCGGCCGCAGCATGGTGCCGCCGGGCGGACTGGTGCCGCTGCTGGCGTGGCTGAAGTGGCCGTGCTGCCTGCTGGAGCTGGTGCTGGCGGCGCGCGGGCAGGAGGCGCACGGGGGCCCGCACTCCATCCGCCTGGAGGGGGACATCACGCTGGGGGGGCTGTTCCCGGTGCACGCCAAGGGCCCGAGCGGCGCGCCGTGCGGGGACATCAAGCGCGAGAACGGCGTGCACCGCCTGGAGGCCATGCTCTACGCGCTGGACCAGATCAACGCCGACCCCGAGCTGCTGCCCAACGTGACGCTGGGCGCGCGGGTGCTGGACACCTGCTCGCGGGACACCTACGCGCTGGAGCAGTCGCTCACCTTCGTGCAGGCGCTCATCCAGAAGGACACGTCCGACGTGCGCTGCACCAACGGCGACCCGCCCGTCTTCGTCAAGCCCGAGAAGGTGGTCGGCGTGATCGGGGCGTCGGGCAGCTCCGTCTCCATCATGGTGGCCAACATCCTGCGGCTCTTTCAGGTGCCCCCCCCGGGCCGGGGGGGTGGGTGGTTTTTTGGGTTTTTTTTTTTTAACTTTGATTTGCACCTCGCCGTGCACTTCCCCTGTGCGGGCGGATGTTTCGCGGCGAGCCGACGGGTAAAGGGAGCGCCGCTCTTCGGGGCAGAGCCACTTTTCCCAGCTCCGTGCTCGCTGTTGCTCCTGGCTCCCATCTGGAGCAGCCCTCGGGTGCACGCGGGACTCCTCTGCCCTTCCCCCCGGACACTAGGAGATTCCCACCCCCACTTTGGGCACTAGGAGATTTCCTCCCCCACCCTTGGACATTAGGAGAATTTCCCTTTCCACCCCCACTTGGGGGTTGGACTCGATGATCTCCGGAGGTCCCTTTCAGCCCTAATGTCTCTGAAATCTACCACGCTAGGAGAATTTGCCAGGCAGGATTTCTTTTTTGTATTTCTTTTTTTTTTATTCTGTGACCCGTTTCTCCCCCTGGGCTCTGAAAGGCAGCTCGCAACACTTGTTAAACCTAGCACAGTGCTACAGCTGTGACACTGGGAAGGCGCAACAGCCTTACCGTTGAAAACGATACCTGTGTCAAACCCAGCAGTGATGTGCTGCCCGTGGGCAGGGCAGCCCTCGGCGTGTGCACGCGCCTGGCATAAATTGCAGAAAATATCTGTCTTGATTGAAGAGGGCTCACCGAGCAATGGCTCTCCGAGTAGAAATGCAGCCCAGCTAGAAGTGGGAGAGATTTTGTGGGACATGCTGCCCACGGGCAGGGTAGCCCTTGGCGTGTGCACGTGCCTGGCATAAACTGTAGAAAATATATCTGTCTTATTGAAGAGGGCTCACTGAGTTACGGCTCTCCAAGTAGAAATGCAGCCCAGCTAGAAATGGGAGAGGTTTTGTGGGAGGGATGTATATAAATGCCGGAGTCTGAGTTGAGCAGCGTTTGCTTTAGACTTTCACAGTTGAGTGGTTCAGAATCAACCAGACCCGGTTCAAAAGCAAATGTTGGGGGGGCTGCGCACTTTCCGTGCAGTGAAACCAGACCTGTAAAGCCTTCAGTTGTGTTGCTGTTCATGTAATGGAGTATAACGGCAGAAAATGAGCCGTTGTTGGTAGTTTGTAAGTGTGAAAATATTCAGATCTCTAAGCTTTTTTTTCATATATGACTGGGTAATTCAGATTCACCTTTTTACCAAATCCTGATGAAAACAAGAACTGCTGAATATTACTATGTATTTGATTTAATTGCCTAAATGTTTTTGCAGCTTTGCTCTGCCTACCTTCAGCAGATTCGATGCAATTATAACTATTTTTGCTCTCTGAATGTGTTGCGTTTTAGAATATGCTGGCAGAGAGAGAGAGAGAGAGAGAGAGAGATCTTAAAAAGGCAATAGAATTGGCCCAATAAACAAGTTGGTGATAATAGGAAGGGATCATGTAATTAGTGAAAAACTTGTATAAATTAAAGGTGCTCCAAGCAGCTTTAACTTCTGCAGCCAGCACATACTTCGCATATCACCGTAGGTTTTACTGACCTTGGCAGCATTACATGGGGTTATATTTTTTACATGGATGGTTGGTGTCGAACATTTTTTTTTTCTTAGTGCAATAGGCATAAACTGGCTTTTCCTCAGTATCATGCAGATCAACACTCTCTCTTTCCATCTGTTGAGGCTATTGCAAACCCTACTTGTTAATGTTTACATTTCTCCAGCTGTGTCTTAGGAGAGAGTTGAGAATCCCATACTGCACCCGTGTCTTAGGGCCATATAAATGTGCATATATCATTAATGACTCCAGTGAGCTAATGGTTCTTTTCCTCCTGGAAGGAGGATATTGCGATTAGTCATCTTTTTCTATGTATAAAGAGGTAGGATGCACACTCAGTGCAATTAACAGTGCTGCACGCTAGCCTCGGATGGAAAGGTTTGGAGTACCACAAGTGCATCATCAGGTGCATCAATATGGGTACACTGTACTTTCTGCTTCCCAGTTTCAAATCATCCATGCAGTTACTATGTGATGTCTCCACTTGAGGTTGTCATGTGGTGAAAAATGAGGGAAGGATTCAGTACTGGACAACTAGACTTGTACAGTTCCCTCATGCAACTTTAAAGAAGGAAACTTCCCCCCCCCCCCAATTCTTGAATTATACCAACGTATAAGCATTTTGAATTATTTTTTTTCTGAGAATAGCATGGATCTTCTCTAAGCACAGCTCCCACTTAAGTCAAAGGGAGATCAGCTCCTAAGAAAGAACATGCTGGGTGAATAGGCTCATTGTGATACAGAGAAGCTCTTCTGGGAATAGTGAGATTCATGCAGCAGTCAAAATTGGGTCATTACACTGACTTTGAGTTGCACATGGAGTTGTTTTTCTGAACTCTGTGGGCATAGGCACAGTGAATGAAGACAGCCTACATCCCATAAGGTCATACCCTTCTATGATTTTATTGGCCAAAGTCCCAGTAAGTTTACCAGAGCTACTCACAGCTACTTATAAGAGCTACTCGCACACAAAAATAGGATTATGAAAGAAAGGATGGAATTTATGGTGAGGGCACTGGATCCGGATAGCTGAGTACAATTCCTGAATTTGCCACCAACTTCCTGTGTGACCTTGGGCAAATCATTGAAGGTGACATTTTCAACCCTGCCTGATTAACTTGAGATATTTAAATCCTTGTGTAAGTGATTTAGACACCAAAGAGCCTCAAGCTTGTTGGAAACAAGAATGACTTAAGTTCTCTGGTGCTTCAGTTATTTTTGAAAATGGGACAATAGCTTTTGTGTGTGGTCAGGTGGGATGTGGATTTAAGGTGAGTGGGCTTTCTCCATGTGAAAGCTCTTTTCAGAGTTTAGCTGTATAGTTTAATCCATTTCCTAAGTGGAATGAGGAAGGTACATTTAATGGGAAATAAGTGTCCACAGGAACTAGTGCAGAATAGCTATTCTGGGGCTATTTGAAGCATGTTGTAAAAAAGCCCTTAGATACTCTTGGCAAATATTACCCTAAGCATCCCTGTGTCTCCTATTCTCCAGCTGTATAGTGAAGGAAATATTGCTTCTTTTCTGTCACTTTTTCTTTCTTAACATATTAAGATTGTAAACGTTTAGGGTGCAGGGATTGCCTCTTACTGTGTGAGCATACAGTGCCAAGAGCAAAGGGTCTCTCTTCTTTGTTAGGGCAGGTAGCCTTTAATATAACATGATCAAAAATATAGTAAATTTTGGACAATAATTGAGTAGGTATACTGGATATGGCTTTGGTTAACATAAATGGAGAAGTGTTTAAATATGTCAGGTGGATTGATTTTTAGTTTAAGACAAAATTTGGTTAAGGAATGTCAATAAATAATGTGGATATTGTAAATTAAACCTCCCATTTAAAAATTAGATGGAATCAGCTTAGAAGCTGTTTATAAATGCATCATAGACTTCAAAGCTAGACTGCTACTGTTGCATTATAAAATAATTCTGACAATGTAAGGTAACAATAAATACAAGTTACGTTATTCTAGAGTTTGAATCCATGAAATTCAATAACTGAATAAAAGAAATTACTAAACATTTCAACCATTTTAAACACCTAGTAAAAGAAACTATGCAATAAGGGGAAATCAACATGTGTTTTAATGTATTGTAAAAGTAATTTTGGGACTGCCTTAAAACCAGGACTTATACTTAGAAATATTTAAATGAAAAAGTAAATTACTGCCTTAGCTTTTCTGTCTTCAGTGAGTATTATCTTTAGGTAGTCAATAAACAGTTATTCTTTCTTTGTTGTTTAAATGGCCTCTTTCTCTTGTCAATATTGGCTCTTTTGGATAGGGCTGTACAATTCTTGTTATTTAAGAGGTGATATTAAAAACCAGTAGGGATTTTAGAAGCACAATGCAAATGGAAGTCAGCATTTTTTTGTTTGTTTGTTTGCTTTTTTGTTTGTTTGTTTTTTGCTCCTAAATCCTTTGGATGTCTTTGAAAATATTTCTCTTTTTGTAAACATACCCATAACCTACTGATGTTAGGAATTCAGTAGACCACAACAGTAATTCAAGGCCAAATTGAATTCTGGAGTCAAAAAAAGTATTAACATGATTATTGAAGAAGAGAACTAAAACAGGGAGAAGGAAGGTTGCTTTGATTTATTGGATTATTTTCTTTCTTGAAATAAAATTATATTGATGGTTGTTCCTTCTGTAATTGGGCAGACAGTACTTGATTCAGAGCCTATTGAAGTCAATGTAAATCATTTCTTCTAACTCCCACAGTTCGGATCAGGCCCTTGACAACTTCTAAAATGTGACTGCCTGTCTGTCTCTCCTGGCCTTTCTTCGTCACTTAATTGTTGATCCATATCTCACTGGCTTAATGACTAGAATGGTGTTACCTATCCCTTCTGAATGAAAACACTGATGGGGTGATATATGCAAAGATCTGTCAAAACTGTCTGGTCAGCATGTAGGAAGGAGAAACTTCTAAGCTATTATATCCTCCTCCAAAAACAGTGGCAACTACTATGTATGTAATGCTGGAGGTACTGAAACTTTTGGCAGGGTGTGGCTGGATGATGGACAACAAGGGAAGGACTCTGTTCAGCTCCTGGTTTTTCAGAAATCATGATAGCAGCAGGCTCCTTTTTTGTTATTTGTAGGCCCTGCCAGGTGAGGAAAGGAAAGGCCTGCATGGGGGATGAGTTTTATAGATCATCTCCTTGAAATGGACTTAGTTCACATGTTATAATTCTATTTATAGTGAATTGCGCCTTCTTCTCTTTCCTGGTGGGCTTTCTTGAATCTTGGCCTCTTTTATTAAGCCTCCTATGGCAAACATAATTTTGGCCTGAAGACATTGGCCCTGAAATCATAACTGCACAGCTGAAGCCCTGCATCTGTTTCTTTGTAGTTACTGCTGTCTAAGCAGTTGAGGTGATCAGCATATTTTTACTGTATTATCATTTGAACGTGGACTCTGTTGTGGTAGTTGTGGAACAAGCGTATGCTAAAGGACAG